CTTTCTTGGCAGCCAGGGCACACTGCTGGCTCATGGTCAACCTGTTGTCCACCAGGACACTCAGGTCCCTCTCCGCAGAGCTGTTCTCCAGCAGGTCCTCCCCAAGCCTGTACTGGTGCGTGGGGTTGTTCCTCCCCAGGTGCAGGACCCTGCACTTGCCCTTGTTGAACCTCATCAGGTTCCTCTCTGCCCAACTTAAGAAGGTCCCACCGGCTCTGGCTGCAGATGGTGTGATGGGGACACACGTGGGTTTGCATTGCGCTGCTCTTGGCTCTGCCCAGTCTTTGCGCACATGCCTTTTTCTTGAGGGCATCCGTTTTTCTTCAGCGCTATTATAAACTTTAAAGATTTTTTTTTTTATTAAATAAAAAAGACTCTGAAGAACTGCAGCCTGGCTGCTGGATGTCGTGGACAGCTGCTGCCTGGGAGGACTCACAACTACACTCTGTACCACCACCTTCCCATGAAAAAAAAGACACTTTGCAGCGGAACAAAACTGCAGCTTGGTGGTTTGCAAAGATGTGGGTGGAAGGGGAAAAGGAGAGCAAAAAAAAGCCCACAACAGCACGTGCTCCCCTACTCACACATGCACAGCTTACCATTACAAGGCATTCTTGATTTTTTTCTTCTTCCACTATTACCTTTTTGTTCTTCTTTCATTACTATATTTTTTTTCTTCCTCGTAGAGAAGAAAATGAACTTCTCGGCGGTGAGACACGGTCAGAGCTGCGTTTCGGCCACTCCTTGGGTGAACTGCATCAGCCAGATAACACAGCTCAGAAATATAATTTGCAAGAATGCGTGACAGGAAGCAGCTACCACATCAAACTGCAAATAAATAGCAGGTGGAAATTAAGCAGGCAGAACGCAGCTAGCACTTGCTATTATTATCCTAATTAGTAGCAATATTTTATTACACGTGGAGAAACTTCGTAAACCTGCACCTGTCCTAAATGCAAAGGGAGCTTTTGTGGTGCCGCTTAGGATGTGAAAGCCTTTGGGGGCTGAGTGCGTTGTAGAAATGAGATTTTAGCTTCAGGGCAATGGCTGTGAGGACAGACCCTGAATCCCCAGTTCATCTCTAAAATAGGCTGCCTGGGTCTAAGCAACCCGGGTGGGAGGAGGAAACCCCATTGCGTCTGCCGGCGCCTGGCAGGAGCCGAGCCCCGTGGACCCCTTCACGTGCAGGGCTGGCGCGGGCGCAGCCACCGCTGGCCTGAGAAAAGTGTTTGCTTTGCACCCTGACCCACAGCTGCTTGGAAGAAAACAGGAATACAGATGTCTGGGTGAAAGAGGAGGGCTTGGAGAAGCGTCAGAGGGGAAGCGGCGCAGGAGGCGATAAGAGCGGGGGCAGAGCCGGTGGCTGCGGGGCCGGCGAGGCGTGGGGCCTCGCTCAGGATGTGTGGGTCAGGTGGGCGACAGGGAGAAAAGGCCGTGGATAAATTCATGGAAGGCAACGGGCTTGAACGTTACAGCGTGGGATTGAGCATCAGCAACGCCAAGTCCTGCTTCGGGCCAAGCTGTGGTCGGTTCCTC